TAAAAAAACATCTCAGTATCAGAAGGGCTACCAAATGCAATTTACGTCTAATCACGATGAAAATTCATGGGCAGACACTGAGTTCGCTCGTATGGGAGATGGTCATAAGGCTTTTGCAGTATTGACAGCGACTTTTAATGGATTTCCATTGGTTTATTCAGGCCAAGAATCTGCAATGGACAAAAAATTGGAATTTTTCAAAAAGGATGAAATACCTTGGGGAGATTATAAATATGCTCCTTTTTACAAGACATTATTCGACCTAAAACACCGTAATAAAGCGTTATGGAATGGTGAACATGGTGGGCCATTGGTCAAAGTCAAAACTGGAAATGATGAAAATATTTATGCTTTTACCCGTGAGAAAGATGGCGACAAAGTATTGATTATTATTAATTTGTCATCCAAAGAGCAAAAGGGTATTATCAACGGTGTAGCTGGTAATTATACGGATGCATTCTCAACTGCACAAAAGGATTGGAAAGATGGCGATGAAGTGGTACTAAAAGCTTGGGAGTTTATGATATATAGTAATAAATAATAGAAAATAGTTTATAAACCATCTAATACAGTATTTGAAATTACTGTATTAGATGGAATTATTAGAAAAAATTACCAAATCTAAAAATCTAATAATTTTGATTCTAAAATTCGCTTGTAAAATGAAAATCTACATCAGGATGATTTTCTTGCGCCATTTTTAGTGTCCATGCTGACTCTGCCAAAAATACTAACTTATCATCGGTGTCTCTAGCTAGGTCTTTTTTGCGTCTTGAGATAAATTCTTTTAAAGCTAGTGGATCTTTACAGCTGACCCAACATGCTTTATGTAGGTTGACGGGTTCATAATCGCAGGAGGCACCATATTCGTGTTTGAGACGATATTGGATTACATCAAACTGAAGTGCTCCTACAGTACCAATGATTTTACGGCCGTTGTCTTCTTTGGTAAAAAGCTGGGCGACGCCTTCATCCATCAATTGGTCCAACCCTTTGTTGAGTTGTTTGGTTTTCATAGGATCTGTATTATTGACAAATCGGAATTGCTCTGGCGAAAAACTTGGAATACCTTTAAAGTGTAGTATTTCTCCTTCCGTAAGGGTATCTCCAATCTTAAAATTTCCTGAGTCATACAATCCTACAATATCTCCAGGATAGGCTTCGTCGATAACAGATTTTTTAGATGCCATAAAGGCTGTTGGGTTAGGAAATTTCATATTTTTTCCTTGACGTACGTGAAAGTAGTTGGTATTACGCTCAAAAATTCCAGAACATATTCGTAAGAATGCAATTCTGTCTCTGTGTTTTGGATCCATATTGGCATGAATTTTAAAGACAAAACCTGAAAATTTCTTTTCTTCTGGTATTACTTCTCTTTCTTCGGTCTCGCGTGGTAAAGGGTTGGGTGCGATGTCCACAAAACAATCTAATAGTTCTCTCACGCCAAAATTATTGACAGCACTTCCAAAAAATACAGGACAAATCTCTCCATTTAGATAATCCTCTCTTTTGAATTCAGGATAAACTGATACAATGGTATTGATTTCATCTCTGAGCTCTTCGGCTGGAGCTTTACCTACTTTTTGAGTAAGTAATTCGTCATTAAGATCAGATATTTTAAAGAGATCTTCCTCCTCCTGTTTCCCATGTGGGCTGAAAAGTATAAGATTTTTTTCGTACAGACTATATACACCTTTGAATCTTTGACCCATTCCTACGGGCCAACTTAAAGGTGTGACGTGCAGACCGAGTTTGGTCTCTACTTCATCCAAAAGGTCAAAAGCATCTTTTCCTTCTCGGTCCATTTTATTGATAAAAACGATAATTGGTGTTTTACGCATACGGCATACTTTTACCAGTTTTTCTGTTTGCTCTTCTACCCCTTTCGCCACATCAATGACTACAATCACACTATCTACAGCCGTAAGGGTGCGGTAAGTGTCTTCAGCAAAGTCTTTATGACCTGGCGTATCTAAGATGTTTATTTGTTTGTCTCTATATTCAAAAGCCATCACTGATGTAGCTACAGAAATACCTCTTTGTTTCTCTATTTCCATAAAGTCTGATGTAGCGTGTTTTTTGATTTTATTGGACTTTACTGCACCTGCTTCCTGTATTGCACCACCGAAAAGCAAAAGTTTTTCAGTTAGAGTGGTTTTACCAGCATCTGGGTGCGAAACGATACCAAATGTTTTTCTTTTATGTAATTCAGTAATATGACTCATTAAAATGTATGTTAATTTTGAAATGGCTGCAAAAGTAGTAAAAAATCAAGGTTATTAAGTTATGGTTTGGTCAAGTAGTTGGTCATATTGAATAAAATTATTGCAAAATTCAAATTATTAATTAAAACAACTCATTGATTTATAGTAAAATATTAAGATTGGTTTTTTATATTCATTACATTATGCCTTGTATTGTATTTTTGTGGCACAATTTCTGTTTATACAAAGGTATGGACATTCAGAAAATAAATAGAAGGCATTTTGTAGAAACGGATCTGTATTACAGAGTAAGTTTAGGATTGTCATCTAAGTTATTAAAATATGAAAATGGGATTTTTCATCTTGAGGTAACTCTTGGTAGAAAATGGGATAAAAATTATAACGCCACAGCAGCAGAGATTGCACATGCTTGGAAAAACAATCATGCAGAGCTATCTCAAGCTATCGGATGCAAAGTATTTATTATAGACTTAAAATCAGGTGAAAATAAAACTATGTTGATTCAAGCAGGTATTTCACCAGGATATGATGCATTCAAAGGTATCCTCTTCCGTAAAAATTATCTAAATTAAGCTTATTTTCACTTATATTTGTGCCATACTATTCAGTAATAATGGGCACTTTACACACAGAATATTTCAAAATTAGAACATCAGAGATTAATCATCTCAAGTTGTTACATCCGCACGCATTGATACAACTCATGCAAGAAGCATCGATGCAACATACCATCCGCATGAAGGTCTCTGTGTGGGATTTGGAACGGTTGCATTCGAGTTGGGTTTTACTCAAAATGCAAGTTACCATTCATCATTATCCTACACTCAATGAAGATGTGCGAGTGGAAACCTATCCTTCTGGGCTAGATGGCTATTTTACTTATCGAGATTATTTTATGTATGACCAAAACGATAAGTTGTATGCAACTATCACATCCATGTGGACGCTTATGAATACAGCATCTCGTAAAATTATGAAAATTCCCGATAGTTTTGGGTCATTAGTTTATGGTGAGACTAACGCTTT